AAATACACGGCATGCCGCCGCTGTTGGCATCACGCGTCTATATTTTTAGAATGCGCGCATCGCGGAAAATTCCCATCGATCCGTTCATATTAAGTCCCGAAAGTCGTTCGCAACTAATTGGTTGTAGGTGGAGCGGTTGTAAAAATCGATTTCATAATAAATTAACCGATTACTGTTCTAATTCCCCTTTTTTCACGACTATAATGCGTTTCTTCAAAATGTGAAGGAATAAAACACCCCGTAGAGTAAAATAAACTTTAAGAATACGCAGCGCCATCCTGTGATGGATTTTATAAGCAAGTATTATAAATGGCGTACACTTTACAGTGTAACAATATGAAATAAAACATTTTTTGCAAGTTTTACTTGAAACTCATGTTTAATAATAAACACTCTACCATATATCATACCTAGTTTTAATTACCTACAATCCTAAGACTCCAAATAATCAGGTAATTTCTGAAGTTCAATCTTAGATGTCTTCAATGCTACACCTTCAGGCAAATTCCTTTGCAAATACTCTACCAGAGTGTCACATGTTGATCCAGTCAAGTATTTAAATTGTACAAATGAGAAGTAAGTCCTCAGCTCATACTGACTCTTGTGCTTCTTATAAATGTGTACTGATTTATACATTGTAAAACGTTCATGCTTAGGTTTCCTCAATTTCCATCTGAAAGTCAGATTATAATAAATAGGTATATTTATAAATTATTTTTGATTAAAATATCTTACGTTTTTGTTTCTAATTCAAAGTGCTTGCCAGCTGTAGTGGCAAACTTTGCATAGCTGTCTAAAACCGCTGGATCATTGCCTTTCATTTCCAATTCCACTATTTTATAAAGTTTATCCAGTTCCGAGGTATTGGGAGTTGGTTGACTAGCAGTCTCAGGTGAGGTTTGTGTACTGAATGCATTGGAAAGGCGCGTGAAATTATTTCTTAATGCAAATGTATCATTTACGATTGTGGAGAAAACTCTTCTAATGTTCTACAATAAAATATGAGTTATTAATCTCGTCAAGAAATAGAAATATTCGTGTTTTACCATTTTGGATGTTATGAAATCTTTGGTTATGTTCGTGAAATGCGTGAATGTATACAGGGGGTATAAACGCGCATATACCGGGTATTTAGAAACTTGATTGCATCTAAAATTAATTTAAATTAGTTTATAGTCAGAAAGAGTTTTGAAACTCGTAAATTTGCATTGCATTCACATTTATTTAACTGAATGTTGTATCGTTATCAACAAAGTAAGCATCCTATGTATGCTAGAATAGTAAATGGGCCATGGGGAGTAAAAGTGATCCACTTAATAGTCTTCCGAATTCCGTTCAACAGTTTAAACCTCTCCGCCGACAACTTACACACACACACACATTTGCATGACAAGTCGAAATTAAGTATAGACGTGCAGCAAATCAACATCAAACATCAAAATCTTCCAA